GGATCTGATTCATCCGTAATGGATTTATATTGGGGTGGATTGGATTGAGCCAATATCTGGTCCATTGATAGAATATAAGAAAACAAGTGTCAATGGACCAGGTTTGGATTGAAACTTGAAATCGTCCAAAATAGTTCAAAGTATTTATCAAATTGGATTGGACCTGATCCATTTGTAATAGACTCATATTGGATCAGATCAGATTGAACCAAATTCCGTCCAATTAACACTCTTACCTTGCATAGCAAAATCGACATGAAAAGTTGTCAGGGTACAAAGTTGCACCACTGAATCAAGAAAGATTATTATTCGTTTTTTTCTCAACGTGCATGGAATACCATAAACAGGGGCTATGACAATGATGAACCACAAGTGATGCAGAAATGAATGATGACCATGAAACCAGAAAAACATAAACAAGTAGAGAGGGATGGTAATATTTTAGGGACACTGCTCTTGAAAACAATGTTGGAGACGATGACAATGGACGAAACTTGATAGCCTTGTTCCTTGCAGACAAAGAGTTCAATAGCTGAATCCTCTACCAGGTCCAAAGGATTTCTTCAAGCAATTAGAGTATGTAGAAATGGAGAGGTCCTGGAGATCAACCAAAGACGATAACTATAGTGGTTCTAAAGCCACTTATTAACATAGTCAATATTAAATAATGCATGTTTGGACTTGGGGAGCACGTCGGTGCCTTTGAATTTCGATAGATGGATGACACAATTTGCTATTTGAATCTGAAATGTGAAATATGGTTGGATATCAGAGAAACCTTGTATAGAACGAAAACTAAAAAAAGTAATATTATAAATATGTTGGTCGTTTGTACTTTGTAGGGTTGTAGTGACTGAGAGATGGGGCGAGGAAGAAAGAGGGAGAGAGAGATTGAGGATGGGGAGTCGTTAGAAAAGGCATGGTATGCATTTGTAAATTTGAGGAATAATAAAGGATAAAATAGATATTTTAATATTTTTGTCAATATTTGGCCTGTCAATTGTCAAAAAAAAACTTAAAACTGTATTTGGTTTGAAGGAAAAAGTAGGTAAAGGAAAGGAAAGGTAAGAAACCCATACAAGGTTTGTAAAAGGTTTCTCTACCTTTCCCCTTCTTTCACTACTTTTTCCTTTAAACCAAAATAACTTAAGGGTATTTTAAGAGATTTTGTAAATAATAAGGGTAGATTTAGTCTATTTTGTTAAATTTAGGAATAGTTTAAAAGATTTTTCCTTTAGTTTACTCGTGTGAATAGTTAAGGTAATTGTAGGGGTGCAAGTCAGACGGGTTAGGTTGGGGTTATGGTCAACTCAGGCCTGACTTTAGAATTTGAGATTAAGGCCCGAGCCCGGACCGAACCCAAAGTCAAGTCTGATCTTCCCAACCCAAGCCCAACCTGCACTATAATTTGGGTACACTTGGGTTGGGCTCAGGTTGGTCATTAAATTCGCTCTAAAATTATATATACATTTATGTAAATATATATACAAATGTGTAATATGTATGTATATATATATATATATATATATGTGTGTGTGTGTGTGTGTGTGTGTAAATGTGTATAACCAGGCTAGGTTCGAGTTATCTAAGTACAAAGCCTGGGCCCGATCCAAAAAAAAAAGACTACTTGAGCCCGAATCTAACCAGAAGACCGAAAATCCAAGCCCAGCCCATGTAAAATTTTGGGCTTGGGCTAGGTCCGCCCAACACGTTAAAAATTTTAGACATAGGGCCATTTGATTACAGCTAAAATGAGTAGTGAACTGAAAAACTTGTCGCTTTAAATTTTAGTAAATAAATTTTTAAGAAGGTTCTGGGCTTCTTAATGGCTGAATCAGAAATTAGGAGACGTAGGATCAAATCCATAGAGCTGCAGGCTCCCAGGAGCAGGGTTGTCAATGGACCAGTTTTGGGTTGGACTCCGTCCAAACCAAAATCCATTTGGATGGATTGGATGGACCAATAAGACATATTGAATTTGGATGGACTGGACGGACCAATATGACATATTGGATTGGACCTGGTCTGTCCATAATAAATTTATATTAGATTGAGCCAATATCTGGTCCATTGATATGTCAATGGACCAGGTTTGAGTTGAAACGAATCTAAATTAATGGTAATTTGAATAGACTGGACAGTCTCTGGAGACCGGTCTAAAATGATCCAAAATATTCATTGGACTGGATTGAATCAAAGTCTATTTGTAATGGATTGATATTAGACAGAACCGGATTGAACCAAATCCACTCCAATTGACACCACAAGAGTATGGTCATGGACCTCACGTGTACTTTCTTCTTAAAATCACAAAAAAGAAAAAAAAAAGGATATGGTTTGTTTATACATATAAAAAAGGTCTTAGTATTTGACGTAAACCCTAGGGAAGGTGTAAGGTAGTTAACCCTACGGTCCCTACCTAAAAGAGACCCTTTATAAGACTAAGCTAGGGCATTTTTTTTTTTTTCTGATTTTTCAAATAGAGTAGCATGGGTGGGGGGGTCAAACCATCTTTCTAGATTTGAATAAAGTAATAACGCCTAGGCAACATAGAAAAACGAAAACAAACAATAAAGATGGAATCATTATACTATAATCAAACTTGAAGTTGGTTTGAAGAACATTGCTTAGCCAAATACGGTGCCAACAACCAAAACGGCCTCCAAAAGTTTTGCTTTCCGTACTTCTCATAAATAATTCATTTTGCTGACATTGGTCTTATAACATCAACATTGAATTGTTAATTTGAAATGTGTCTAAGGGGCTTTCATTTTATATTTTATAGGGCAATATATAAAAATCTCCCCCCTAGATTTCTGACAATCATAAATAAATCTCCTGTATTTTTATTTTTATTTTTATTTTAACCCTCATCTCCCTTGTAGTTTTGAAAAATCATGCAACTCCTTCACTGATATAACGCATTTGTTTTTCCAAGTTACCAATTTTACACTTTTCCATCTTGTTTAACTCAGCCATGTGATTGATGTGAGGTGGATCTATGATCTGTAGATGAGCTAACCGTTAATAGGAATAGTCTTTTGGGTTGGATGCTATGTTTCAAGTTGGCAATCTGTTAATCTTTAGTAGTCTCTCACCTAGGTATGCACCCACTATGGTAGCAGAGTTGGGTACCAAGCTAAGAGACTAATGATCAACCATTGAACTAATCTTACTGTAAGATGCAAACCTCTACAGTAGTTTGTAAAATGCTCGAGGATCGATCAAGTTAACTTGTGTTTTGAATTTCCATGAGGTTGGGAAGTGTATGGGTAGTGAAACAAGATGGTACCCAGCCTCTACTTGCTTGGAGTTTACATCATTTGATTCATTTCTTAGGTTTTGTGTTGTTCTCATGGTTGAGAATGCAAATGCGGGTAACGTTCGTCCACGGGAGAAAGCAGGTAAGGTTCACCCACCAGAAAGTTCAGAGAATGTAGATAGTTCGTCGGAGATTTCAGTGGGAACTTCATCTATCATACAAACCATATGTTTCAGGGGTGGAGAAGTTTAAAGTTTAAACAGAACTGGGAGAGAAGTCTGATCGAGATAATTCATACAGGTTAAAGGTATTCTCGTGATATATTCATACCTCAATGGAGATGGAGATAGAATTAGCATTTCGAAGAAAAAATGCACTGCATCAGAAGAGAGATAACTGCATGATTGTTAAATTACAATGGAGGTATTTGTTGAAGTGAAGATATAAGAGAGGTTTTTATGATTGTCAGAAACTTTTGGAGGTTTTTATATCTTACCCCTTTTTTAAACCTCTTTTCTGTATAAAATGGTAAACATTAACGGTGAATTAAGAGTGGAAACAGATGAAAATTCGGAAAACCCACATCAACATTTAGAATGCCAGTTGAGTACCTAAAAGCTAAAACATGAAACTACTCCGACTCTGAGTAGCTTATCCGAAACAGTAGCACGTTGAAAATGCAGAAATCCCACATCAACATTCCGAGTGTTAGTTGAGTAACTACAACATGAAGATACTCTGAGTAGTTTATCTGGTACAAGAATAATAAACATGAGCTACTTCACGGTGAAAATCCAAAAATCCCACATCAATATTTGGAATGCCAGTACAGAACAGGGATATTTGAGTTTAGATTTAAGGGCCCTTTGTTTTTCTGGATTTTGAGAGGGAGGAAATTCCCATTTATCAAGTTACTCATATTCTTTTTCCACATTTATGTGGGTCATAAAAAAAAAAATATTTTACCTACCTATCTCCCAAATGGGTAATTAATTTTTGAACGTGAGAAAAAGTTGACAATACTTTGATAGTTTTCTATAATGGCTTTTTTATGACTAAAAATGATCACTATCTTATTTACCTAAAAAATAAAAGAATATCAAAATAATGTATTTGTCTGATAAATATTTCCAAAAAAATAAATACTTGGATAAGTGCATATTAGTAACTTCCCACAAAGTGGAGCCTAATAGGAAAAGCATTGTAAGTATATTCAACAAACACTTAATAAATGTTTTGTCAATTGTAGTAAAAATTGTTTTCAATTTATTTTTAAGGATAGGCTAGAGGTAGAGGTATTTTAAAGAATAGGTGTCAAAAAAATTTCTGCTTGATGATCACTATGAGTATCTACCTGATTGGGACTGATGTTCAATATAAAGGGCTTCTGTGTAATAACTCAAACCCAAACATTAAAAACCCTCACAAATGAGACCTCTTAATTTGATTTTAAATCCAATTATTCATCAGATGCAAGTCGTAAGTTGTAACATCCAAATCCAAAATAATAATGATGATGTGTCAATTAGAATTCCAGATTCTGTTGACAGCCCCAAGTCTAGAACCGACATCCATGCAGGCATGCACACACACCAACTGCAGAAGGTCCGAATTTGTGCAATCCCCGCACACTCGAGCAAACGATAAGTTCATTCAAGTCGATGACTCGGCTCAAATCAAAATTTCAAGTTCTGTGGCGTTCGATGACAAGACAAGCACGTTGAGAGTTGCACCGACATGTCGGAGACTGGTTAAAACTTGGAATGCTCATCTCCTGCGAGCTGCATACGCCAATGCGCAAGGATTTCCAGATTGCTTTTGCTCTTTGTTTATACAGAGAGGCCTTCAACTGGCTGTATTTCTTCTTTTCCTTGGCAAACAACAAAATTCATGTTTTACAGGTTTGGTGTTGTGATAATATTACAGATCCTATGTACAAAATTACATGAATTCTTTTTGAATCAAATACACCATATCACTCTTTCACCCTACTGAGGAACATGCTTCCCATGATCAACCAAGGAAAGACGACACTGCAGCATCCTGGGGTTCAGCTATCCGGGCAGTATCAGCTATCTTCAGGGCAACAGTTGCTTTGTATACAGCCAAGTCAGCAATATCCATGAGCATCTGCGCTTTTTGGCGCTTCGCTACTGCAACCTCCAATGATCTTCTTGCAGAGCCTTCTGCTTCGTGGACTCTGCGAATGGCCGCCATGGTATCATGTTCTGCAGCTAAGGCTGTAGATCAACATAAATTGAGTTGAGTCAGACACAAATAAATGCTCGTTTGTGTTCACCAATATGTATCAATGCATGTTCTTCAACCACCTATTGACCAGAAACACAAACACTGGATATGCAAATCAGGCAAATTGCATATGTTTGATTATTTCATTGTTTACCAAACCCAAGCAGCACTATCTGTGGGTATTTTACAAACATTGCATAGAAAATCTTATGCAAATGGAGCTCCAGATTTTATTTCTTCCCTTTTTCTGTGGTCAAGTAGCAAATAAATTACAAATTTGGTCATCAGAAATTTACCTTGTAAATAACTTGGCTGCTTTCCTCTTCCAAATTGTTTACTAGCCTGTCGCTTGAATGATCTTTTCTTACGGATAAGGGGCTTTGGAACCACTTGGGCTCTCCTTGGCGATTGAAACTGTATCAGAAAGGATCATAATTCAGCATAAGAATCAGATGCCTAACAACCATATATCCAAATTCATGATACACCAAAGTTAACACCCATCATATCCAGAAAGCACATAAACTTGCCACAGTAATAATAATGAACCACAGGGCTGTCACATCAAGAATATGGTTTCAAGTTATTAAAATCAGAAAAAAAAAAAAAATTAACACTTGGCCATCGACACACCCAGATATTTTCCAGATCTTGTTCTCTGATTTTATTTTCCTCTCTAACCTGAACAGGGCATTCCATACATCCTATGAGCCTATTCTCATTCACTCCTGTGAAAACATTGGCACTCAAATCATATTTATGCTGCCAAATGAGTTCAAACTAGCAGTCGACCCTTAATTTGGATTCGAGATTTATGATGTTTTACCAGAGGAAACATGGGTAGAGAAAAAAATATGCAGGGTCACATGAGTGTACAGTCCACAATCTGAGACACATGGAATTGAAATTTCCAGCGGACTTGAAATCAGAGAAACATTAATAATGGCTAGTATTAAAATGGGGTTTTTATAAATTCCTCCACCTCATAAATTTTTATGGGTTTGTACAGCTAGGTGCAGTGTCACTGTCAGGTGGGGGAATCTATCACAATTCAAGGGAGTACTGTAGCATAGGTGGGGGTTTGGGAATAATACATCAGGAAACCAATAAAAATATGTGAGGGGGAGTAAACCATAAATTTCCTTAAAATAAAAGGTGAGCAATCACCACAGGAACAACTTCTGTGCTTATTCACAATATCTAAGAACGCAAAAGGTTGGGCGGCCAGCAAAATGCCAAATTTAGCTCAAAGTTCATCTTTTGAAAACTCACTCTGTCATTTAATGATACTTCATTAAAAACCTGATATTTTGATGACATCAATTTTTTACCAATGAAATTCAAATTTTCTCATTGAACATTCAGTTTCTTTTGTTTTCTCACAGTACACAATCTTCATGCTATAACTGATAATATGATGGAAACTTGTAAAGCATGAGCTCCATTCACATTGCGTAACTCATACTTGTTATTTGCCCAGAAAGAATGAAAAAAAAAATGCATCCATATGTTCAATGTACAATACACCAAAAGAAGATTCAAGCCACAAAGAAATGATCAGAAAAACAAAGAAACACCAGCAACTTGGAACATTCTGTATGAGTTACAAGGTACAAGAGAAGGGAAGACTTCAAATGAAGAAAATTCCAAGAAAATAGGCTTCCTGAAAGATATAACCAATGTTTTAAAACGCAAAGGCAACGTGAGGCATTCACTACCTAGAGGCATGAGGCATAGTTCAGAACATACGAGGCATAAGCCTCCCGAACACAAGGATGTGTAAGCCTCAGAGGTGTCAGCACCTCTGGCATACCCTCATGGCGTTTTGCGGGCACCTCGCCTAGAGGCGCGCCTCTATGCATAAGCCTCCCACACCTTTTAAAACATTGAATATAACCAGTAATATAAGTTCAATCATGATTCACAAGTATAAAATACAGAGACAATGGTTTTTATCAATTCTTGATTTCCACAGCCTCAACCACCAAAGGAAAAGAAAGCTGCTGACCACAGTTTAATAACAAAAGCCCCCATATCATGTGAACATACCAAAACAAGATGGAAAAAAGTTGTACATATGCAACCAAAGTTAAACAGTATGGCACTTATACCTGGAAAACCCTAAGCAAGGCTGAACGTCTCTGCTTCCTCTTTTTGAGCCAGTAATCATGAACTCTTGCCAACATGTCCCTCCTCCCCAAAGATGAACAGAGGTCAACATTTTTGTTCTCATCAGAGATATCATCTGGACTACAATACGCAGCCTTTTCAAATGCATCAACTATTTTCTCAAAATTCTCTACCGAGATACAGTCAGTACTACCATCCTCTCCATCACAAAAATCTCTGTTAAGTTCATTTAGCCACTTCTCATCATCAGACTCAATGTCATAATTTGGAACCTTCTTTGTCAAAGCTCTTGTTACTTCAAGATCATCTGTTGTGATGTAAGTATCACCTCGCACAAAGGGCACATACTTGTCGTCCTCATACCCTTCAACTTCAAGTACCCCAGGCACAGGGATAGTCTTAACAGAACCAGCCTGGACATTCCGATCATAGCATTCCTTGTAAAGTTCTTTGAATATAAACCAATCTCTTCTATCAGAAAATTCTAGTTTCCAGCCATTTTCTCCTGCCCAAATCATGGCCTGGGTGAAACGATTAGAAGTGCTGGGTCTCATCACTTTCTGTGCTTTGTGGAAATATCTCAACGATCCTTGTGTCTTAACAACTAATAACCATTTGTTGGGCGTTGAGCACTCTAATGTAACCTTAGCCCCTTCGTGCCTATAGCATTTATCTGATTCAATAACCAAGACATTGGCACTACAAACAATGGAATCCATGTTCTGCCTAACTTCTTCCAAGGTAGATTTCAGTTCCTTGATATTTTCTCCTAGAGGCCTCCTCTGTTTGCGACTGTACATGGGAGAAGACAACGAAGTGTAATCATCTCTGATGCTAAGTAAATCTGCACCTACGCCACTAGAAGAATCGTGCAGATCCACCAGTGACGAATTTTTAGCTCTTGCTCTCAGACTACTCCTCCTCTTATGAGCGACACGATTACTCACCCTGTATCTACTCGATACACTACGGCAAGATGACACAGGAGCTCTAACAATGGGATCCACCTCACTTCTCTGTGTAGAAGTATTTTTTGGGTCCACAATTTTGCTGGTATCAAGATCTATCTCGGCACGATTGAACGAATGAGACTTCTTTTCTTCAATAAACCTTCGTGGGTTTGTGCAGAAATGCATCACATATTGAAGAAGAACATCGGGAAGATAAGCAGATCTAAGAAACATTTTGGAATGCAAAGACATAAAGGGGAATGGAATTGCAGAAAAATCAACAGAGAACAGAGGTATAAACTGTTGAGCCCCAAAAATTTTGCATAACCCAAACGAAGACAGACCATTATTCCATCCATTTCTGCCATAAAGAGCCTGAAAACAGAAAAAGATAGAAACTACAGTGAGACAACGAGATGAATGAAATCTAACCATAAACAATAATTACAAAAACAGAAAGCAGAAATGCATTTATTCCGGCAACCATGAAGCCTGCTTACATGCAAGAAATGGATGCCTCGACGAGAAAATACTGTGGCAATTGGCTTCAAGCACATAAATGCAGCAACCCTCGACAGTCCTAGCCTGGCCCGCATCATGTAGCTCAGAAGCGAGTAAAGAAAACATGCAAACTGTCGAGAATTGCTGCAAGAGGAATCAACAACCACCAAAAGCAATCCCTGACGGAGAAACCCATCTAGTGACGACACTTGCCGCGAATGTACATGTGGAGCAAGATTTCCCGCCAGAACGTACTTCGTAGAATTATGTGATAATCTCGATGAACCAGTTAAGGACACCTTCGACCTCTTTCTTCGTTGCTTCCGGACGAAGGAAATCCCGTACATTCGGTCGCCGGAGAGCTTCTCTGCTCTGCCCATGTCCAATCTCCGGCGCTTTCGATAGTAAACAACCCCGTACATCCTATCTACACTCTCGTCAACAATCGGAACTGCAGAGACTGCACCAACAGACTCCACCGGCCCCATATCGCCGGACAAAGCCATTGCAGTCGCCCCACTGCTTTGAACAACCTCGCGCCAGCCATTGTCCTTGCAGCATGCAACGTCGTCCGCATCGCCGGAATTATCCAGTAGCCGGAACCACTCGTCCCCTTCCGAGCCCCTGCCCAGCTTCGGCTTCTCGGATTCCGACCACAACCGCTTCCCCGACCGTAGGACCCTGGCCCCATCATCCTTCACAATCGATTTCGGCACAAAAACCCTGGTGGACCTCCTCATACCGACGGAAGGCATGGGCGGAAGGCTCCTGATAAAGCGAACCCCCAAATCAACTCTATGGAACACAGATTCAGATACTTCTAAACATACTCCCCTGATTCCCCTGATCCCAGCAACACCAAACCATCAACCCAAGATTCAACTTTTTCAACACTCCGGCACTCTTCTCCCAAGACCCACCACACAAAACAAAAAAGAACCAAAAATCAACAATACCCAAGAAGATTACCTGAAATTTCCGCCATTAAAGCATCTAAAAAAACTCAAACATCCACCCCTGACCCTGAGACCTCTTCTTCCCCTCTCATGGCAGACCAAAACATCAAAACCTATCAATTTCGATCATCCTCTTCAATCTCCGGTTTCCTCCTCAACAAATCTATCGAATACGAACAGTTAAAAGACGATTCACGTATTTCTTGCTGCAGGGAGTGAGACAGAGGAGGACTCACAGAGGCTGCTGTGCTGGGCTGCACGTACGAACTATCTAGGGTTTTAAGGAAAAATAAAACGCTTGTACCCGAACACCGACTTACCACGACCATCGGATGAAAATTCGAGGGCTGATGATGATGGTCGATGCCTTCAAGACCGGTGGTTTTCCGCTCGAGAGGAAGATTTTAAATGAGAGCGGATATTTTAGAGTCGCAATTTTTTGAAAAGACGAAAATAGCACCATGTATGACCACAGCAACAACAGGGAGAGTCTGGGTAGATTGGGAATTTGAACATTAAAGGAGGAAATTTTTGTCCTTTAAATCCAAATACGGCATCTGAGGTTACAAACTGGTCTCCACTTTTCCATTTTTCCAGTAATTTCGGAGAGGGAGAGATTTTACCCGGGAGTGAACAGTTATTATTTCTAGCAACTCTCGAAGAAGAAATCAAAGCTTACGTCAGCATAAAGGCCGTTACTTTGCGGGGTTTTTACGGAAATGCCATTTTTGTTAAATATTCCATTTTGATATTGTCTTTATATTTCAATTAATTATATTATTCAATTACCAAATTATACTGAAATTTAAGGGAATCTATCTTGTGCTTACCGTACTACCAAACTATAGATGGTATGGACAGTGATTCAATCTTTATAATGAAAACGTACGGTTGAGTGATGGAAGAAAGAAAGTTTCCACCTGTTGTCTCAAATAGGGCCACCGTAGCTGTCCTTTGCTACAAAAGTCATTTGGGTTTCGGAAGCCCAACCCAAACTGGCCCTAAAGGGCTAAAATAGCAAGGGATGGGCCTGAATAGAATTTAAAGGGACTGTTTGGCAAATCTTTTCAAAAGATCTTTCATGTTTTCCAAAGATAACTAGAAATAGCCTTTTTTTTTATGGGAAATTGTCTAAAATTAGTCATTTCTCTTAAATTTTTCGTAACTTTTCAAAACTTCCAACGAACCCCAATAATTTGACGTTAAACGAAACGACTAACGAGTGTTAGTAGATTGCCAATTACCCTTTGATATATTCAATCTATCTTTCAATATTTCAGAAATATCCTTATTATTATTCAACCCCAAAACCATTTTGCAGCTTATTTCGAGTACTTTCAAATAGCACAATCAACAATTAGATAAGGTAGTTGGGTGTTTAAGAGCATTTTAATCATAAAAATATATTTGATAAGGCTGATTCGCCATTCAGGTAGATATCAATGGATCGGGTTCGGTAGAGGTTTACCTCAACCCTAACCCGACCCTCCAACACTCCAACCTGAATTCGATCTGACCCAGCTTAAAAATACACGATTCTTGAACCCAACCTGTGACCCTTGTGATGTAAATTTGAAGAGATTTTTTGTTACAATTTTGAAGCAAAAGGAGTTATTGGACATTTAGACTGGGTGGAGCAATTCTTAGTCCAATTGAAGCCTTAGTAAGGGCAATATGGTGATAAGGTAATTAAATTGATTTAATAATTAATACTGGCATTATAATAATTTTACACCAAATGTCAAGAGAGGATTTTGTTAATAATTAATAGTGATTATTAATAAATATCCTTAATAAATATATATATATATATATATATATATATATATATATATATATATACATACTAAAGTAGAGCTTGCTATGTTAGCAGTCCTCTCTTTTCTCCGTTGCCCAAACGGAGCAATTCTAGAGGGGATACAAGATTCCCTCTAGAAGCACTAAGGCCATGTTTGGTTTGAAGGAAAAAGGTAGGGAAATGAAAGGAAAGGTAGGAAAATCTACACAAGATTTGTAAAGGTTTCCTCTCTTTCCTTTTTTTTCCCTACTTTTTTCTTTAAACCAAACATAGCCTAAGAGTTGCCACCTAACATGGCTTATCTCATTTTTTACTCTCCTTTTTATTAGGAAACTAACTATCCCCCACTTTCTCCTAAATTATCTCTATCTCTCCCTAATTCCTATTTTATCTCCTAAATTATCTCTAATTCCTATTTATCCTCTCCCCCACTTTTCATCTATATCTATCTAAAGAAAGTTTCAATTAAAACATTTAATAATTATTTAAATATTATAATGAAATTATGTTAATAACTTTAAAGTATTTATAAAAAACACAAAAAAATAATTATATTAGGTTTAATAATATTCATTTTATTAATAATTTTATATTTTTATAAAATTCATAATGAAATTATGTAATGACAATATAAATTCTAATTATGTAGATTGTATAATGAATTTAATAACTAAATAATATGTTAAAAACATAAATAAAAATTATTTAAATAAAAATATTAAAAGTAGCTAAATAATTATGTAACAAAATATCTAAGATTACATAATAACTTTAAAGAAATAAAATTTAAATAACATAAAAACATTAAATATTTTACATATTAGATTTAAAATATAAAAATATTGATATATAGCTATGGTCAGATAGTTCAATTTTAGTCAGTTAATAAATGACCAAAGTGAAACAAATCTAACCCTGAGTTGGGAAATTGTGGAACCAAAGCCGACTGGAAATACTAGAAATTGGGTTGGTTAGCTTCATTAGTTTCATTCGGAATGGCAACCGGGCGGGGTAGAGACGATGAGCCTCTCCCCATCCTCGTCCCCATGAAAATCCCCATCCACGTTCCCTGTCCCCATCCCTACTAACGAGGACAAAGTTATCCCCATCCCCGTCTCCATAGGGATCCCCACTCCCCATGACTCTTTATAATGTCAACCATTATGTTTTTGTTTTTATTTTATTTCAAAAATAAAAATAAAATAATTAAAATTTCAATCTTATTAGAAAGATTCAAATATATTCAACCATATTTTTAAAAAGATCAACATATGTCTTGTACATGTATACAAATATAAACATATGCATATATATACATCTATATTAGCAAGGATCCCATGGTGCGGGAATCGAGGTCCATGTGGGGCAGGGAATGATCTCCTCGTTCCCGCACCATTCCTGCGAATAGAAATGAAAATTTCCCCATCTCTAGGGGGGCTAAGTTTGATAAACAACCCTATCTAAAATTAATTATTATTATTTTGTATTATAAAAAAATATTAAAAGTAATATATAAAATATAAATGATTATTAACTATTATCTAAAACAATTGTATACTCTTACATGTTTCTATTGTTTATCTTTAACTTAACAAATCCTGTGCATCGCACGGGTTCCCGCTAGTAGTTATCTAAAGTATGATTGACAATTGGACTGGGCACCCCCGCTCCATCCATGCTCCATAGCTAAGATACTCTACCACTACACTATTCCTGGTGGTAGGGCGAGTTTGGGGCAGAGCACACTCCTTGGAGACAGGCAAACCTTAAATTTTCTCTGTCCTAAGGCAACGACCTAAAAATACATCTAATTTGGGGGTATTTTAGAAATAGGATTATAGGAATCTAGGGGTGTTTTTGGAATTGGATATGATGATTTGGGAGTATTTTAGAAATAGAATTATATCATCCTAGGGTTTTAGGAATTTAGGTGAAACTCAAAGATATTTTAGAAATTAGCATTAAATGTAGGGGATATTTTATTAATTTACCATTGAGTTTGAGGTAGGGATGGAAATTTTTCCTATCCTCGCCAAGTACCTGGCTTCCCCGACCTAATGGGATCAAGGTCAAGGATAGAGATTGCCTTAGGAGACGGAGATTGATAGTGATATTCAACTAGGGATGGGGATTGAACTCCTTGCCCCATTCTCACCCCAATTATATATATATATATATAGTATTATTTAGATTATATATTAAAATATATTGAAAATATTTTTATATTTTAAAAATATTCCTTATTATTTATATAAATCAAATTTCTAAAAAAAATAATTTAAAAATCTTAAGGATTTGGCCATTCGGGTCGGAACCCATCTCCATCAATGATCAGGGATGGAGGGTCATTTTTCCGTCATTACTGATACATGTAGTTGACATGCAGCTCACACATAAATACTACATGAACTAAACAAAGGGAATGGAAAGGAATTCCATCCTTTCACAAAAAAAAAAAAAAAAAAAAAAGTTTGTACATAGAAAAAGTAGTATTCTTAGTTGTCAGAAAAGCAAGCACGTAGAGACCTTAGTGGAAGCATGTGAAGCAGCTTATTGTTGCTTATTAATGAAATAGATATTATAGTCAGGAAATCCAGTTCTCGCATCAAGATTGTATCCATCTTTGAATCTTTTATCTATATCTACACCATTGGCTTTCGACTCTTGACTGTATGTGTGTGTGCAAGGTAATGGAATACAATAGGTAAAATGTCTCTCTAGATGAAAGCAAACCATTGAGATTCTTTCTTTCTTTTCAAGTGAAAGTACTTCCTACAAGACAAAACATGGGTTTTTTCGAAGATCGACAAAAAGCCTTGCCAAGAGCTCCCAATTCTTGAATTTGCTTCACCATTTCTCGTATCACAAAAGTGCAAAGCCAAAATATTCAAATAATTGGATTAGAGTTTTAGAACGTTAAAACATTATTTGAAACATCGTTACATATGCAGTAGTTCATGGAGAAATAGAAAGAACCTTCAACATAATTAACCGAGGATTTAGCATGGTCTTTAAAACTAAACATCCACCACAACGGAAAGAGTAAAAGAGCAAATCATCCTCAAAATTCAATATCAACTTATGATTTTTTTAATATCACCTTATGTCACTACTACAAAATATAGTGTAATAATCCGTAATATGCCCATTTTATTAAGATATATTTCATAAACTATGAGCCAAAAAGAAGAGTGCGATTGTGCAAATGAGAGAGCAAGCCTTAGGCTGCTATTGGTGCATCTTTCTGTGTGGTCTTTCGGCTGTTTACATACCGGGAAGACCGATTTTTGGTGTATTTTCATTTAACTGCCAAAAGATGGAACGTCAAAAAGACACGAAAAGCCCATTTTGAGCTGATTTAGGGAAGCTCCAAATGAAGTTTCTTGTGTCTTTCATATTTTATTCTCACATGGAAAAATACACGGAAAGACGTGCATCTGCCAAACGTGCTTTGGGCTGCTCAGATCTTCTTACAAAAGTTTAATGCGTCTTTTAACTATCAGAACTACCAAAAGATTTTCCCAAAAAAATACACTAAACAGGACCC